CTCTTACTTCGTTGGATAAAATCTCCATGACCGGAATTAATTCTTCTTTCATTTTTTAATAAAATTTTGCAGTAAATCCATCCGGTCCTGGTGCTTTTCCCAACTTGGTGTCTTCGATTGCTTTTCCCACTTCTTCCTTCTGAATCAGACCATTTAAAATGTCCTTAAATTCGCTTTTTACTTTTGGCAGTGATGTTTCATCTAGGTATTTTTTTATCTTCTCAAGATCAGCTCTAGTCCCTTGGAAGAGTTTTGCGTAGTACTTGAAGAAACTTCTTTTTATACCATTAGGGTCAACGAATTCCTTCCCCTCTTCTATAATTTTGGTTATCATTCTCCTCTCTCTTCTATTCTTCAGCTGCCATGCCAAATATTTTCCTGGTTTGTTTGCCCTTTCAAAAGCTTTTTGCTGTAACTTCTTTAAATTCCAATAGAGTTCTTGGTTCAGTGTCACGTTCAGTTGTTCTCTTAACAACTGTAATTCTTTAATAATAGTCTTTTTCCCAGGTTTTTTCTTAAGTTCCTTTTCTTTTTGGGCTATTTTTTCCAACACTTCTGCTTGTTTTTTAAATTTTTCTTTCTTTTGCCTCACATTCTGCGAGATGAGAATTCCTCTCATCACCGCTTTATAAGCATCCCAGACCACCTGCACCGGGGTTTCCTTGTTCAGATTTTGTTGGAAAAATTGTTTCGTTTTCTCCTTTAATAAATCTATTACCATTTTCTTATCCAACAGATCTTCATTTATTCTCCACAAGAAATGCTTGTTCTTTTCTTTAAAACTCCACAGTACAGGATTGTGGTCAGAGTTACAACTTGGCAAAATTTCAATTTTGTGTGTATTTATAGATAATTCCTCCGACATCCAAATCATATCAATTCTGGAAAAAGAACTATGTCTATTGGAATAAAAAGTAAAGTCCTTTAGTTTTGGGTTCCATTTTCTCCATACATCTTCTAACTTTTCTTGTTTGGTTAGTTCAAAGAAAGTCTTTGGCAGTTTTCCACTACTCACGTTGCCCTTTTGTGATTATCTATCCAAAAAGTCCACAGTACCATTAAAGTCCCCGGCTAAAATAACCTGATAAAAAGTTTGCATTTGTAACTTCTCTGATAAGTCCTTAAAGAATTTATCTTTTGCTCCATTGGGCGCATATAGGTTTACTAATAAGGTTTTTTTCTGCTGGATTACCATTTCTACGCCCACATATCTTCCTTCTGAATCTTTGAAAATCTCTTTAGGCTGTAAGTCATTTTTTACATAAATCACAACTCCTTTCTTCTTATTTAGAGCCGAGGAATAAAATTCAGTTCCTAACGTTAGGTTCTTAAGGTATTTTGAGTCTTGTCTTCTAATATGAGTTTCTTGCAAGCATATCACATTACATTTTTGTTTCTTAATCCAATGGTAAATTCTTTTCCTTTTATTTGGTGAATTTAGTCCGTTTACATTCCATGACACTAATTTGTAATCCATTGTGCTTTTTATTTTATAATTCTCCAAAGTCATCTAAATTGTCCGACATGAGGGCCAAGTCATGTACAAGAGAGTAGGAAGCAGTGTATAAACCTACAACATGTTCTCAGTGTATCTAAACCACACTATTTACCGAATAACATTTCCTCTAAAATAGGTTATTTTGCCCCCAAATAACTTTCTCCTCAGAGTTATTGGCCTAAAATCGATATGGTTTTGTACATTTGCCAGTTTTAGCAACACTGCCTTTCAAAGAACCATGATTCTATCTGACTTTTTTCACATCCCAGCTTACCGCAATGCTGCAGAAGTCATTCAGTATGGAGTCAAGAACAACACCACATTCCTGGAATGCACACCTAAATCTCCACAGGCCTCTGTTAAATGGCTTTTACAAAAAGACAATGACAGAAGGAAAGAGGTGAGTAATGTTGATCACACATATTGAAAGTACAAAGCAGAGATGATACTGCGTGGCCTTGTATGGGAGGAGGCAACCTTTTCAGCCTCAGAACCCCTCCCAATAAAAGCACAACATTCACCTGCGAAGATGCTGTGAAAGCAAGCAAATAGGGGAAGGGAAAGACAGATGAGAGTTGTACTTGGCTACACACACTGAGACCAAGCCAAACACCATCATTGCAGCCAGTACTTTGGGACCTGGCTGCCAGTTGTATGGGCCAAGGAGGTGATGATGGGCATAAGCCATGCCCAGGGGTCATTCCGTAGTAGCATAACTTATTTGCACATGCCACACCCCCTGACATCACCGGAAGTGTGTCCGAAGGCAACACCTGCTGCTCAGGCTCCACTGGACTGTTTTGGATTGCTAGCTATTCCGGGGGGGGGGGATGTGCAGATCTGTCCTCACAGAGGAGAGAGAACTTGTACCTGAATAAATTTAAGGTGCCAGTGGACTGTTTTGGACCAGGGGGCGGGGGGGGGGGGCTCCGCAGCTTACCTGGCTGCTTCTTGCTCTGACTGAAGGCTGTTGGGAGCAGGGGCTTGTTGCATGTGCCCGTCCCCTGGGCTCTTTACTGCCGGAGCTTCGCTCCTGTGTGCTCCTGCAGGAAATGACCCCTGGCCATGCCCATTACCTTTTCCTATACTTCTGGCTGGCTCCTTCAGTACTGACACACCTCAGGGGCTTTCCTCAGTTGTGTGAGTAGGGTATGTCCACCAAGGAAGTCAAGACAGTGTACAGGCCCTGCATGCTGACAAAGTGGTCTGGCATGCCACTTTGTGGGGTACAAAGAGGGAGGGAGGGAGGGAGAGTGGATAAGCCAGTGAGCTGAAAAAACAGAGCCGAAGATTCGTGTGGGCCTGCTTAAATACCCCCACGGGCTTTGTAGCCTGTACCCATGCTATGACTCACAGCCTGACGTGGCAGGTAGCATGAGCTGGCCAGCCCCCCCCTCGCCTTGCTGGAGGGCACTATGTGGCCAGAACCTGCCTCCTTCCAGCCTCCCCTGAACCGCTAACTATTGCAGAGGTGATTCCTGGCTGTGCTTATTGGTGCATGTGTCTGCGGTTGTCTTACACTGGTGTAGGGATTGTGGTTAGCACCGCTATTTAGAATAAAGACAAGGAGATGCTCTTCAGAGTATCCAAGCTTTCATGACAATGTAGTGCAAAAGTTGGAAAGGTAGCAGGACTCTGTATATGCACTCTTCAACCACAAGGATGTATTCACAATGAGGATGAATTTTTTTATGCTGGTGGAACACAGGCTTGTATGAAAGGGGGATTCTCGTCTGCATTAATAATTTGACTATGGAACAAGAAGTGGCCATTCTTCTAGATGAGTTGATGTAACGGGCCGGTTCACACATGAGAATAAACCCCCTGTACGTGTGGTAGGGAAGTATGAAGCTCACATACTTCCTTTGCACAAAATAATGTATTTTGTGGGGTTTTTTGCATATCTAATATGTGCAATCCTTCTTCTTCAGAAGGAAAGACCGCATGAAGGTGCAGATAAACAGCTCATGTCACACATTCTATGTGTGTGAGAAACTGAGCACTCCTGCCTCACCATCATATATACCAGAGCTCTCTTCTGGAAAATGTATGAACTGCTTTTTTAAATACAATCTTGGTGTGATGGTTGTTCTGGACTTTACAAATCAAGTTTCAAACTTCAAAGGACTTCAGCACTAAAACAATCATATACTTCTGAGTCTTTTGATAGATGTTTGGCCCTTAAATGTAGGTTACTTTGAATTCCAAGCTCACAGATGAGGTAGGCTCTTAATTTCATGCAAATTGCTGCATCTTGAATATGTTTATGAATATGAAAATGAATACAGTCTGGGCAAGATTCAGCCAAATGTTATGCCCCATTGATTTTAACAGGAGAGCTAATCAGGTGCTCAACTTTCTTCCACCAAAAACAGTAAGGACTTAAAAGTTGTGAACTTTGCCTAGATTATACCCATGGTACACAGTACAAAGATTGTGATGAGGGGAATGTCTTCTGTGCTTTAAACGTGCTACCCATCTTAGAGAGGAATAAGGGTCATAACATTCAGGAGGGCCACAGAGGAGATATATCTGAGGAGCAGGAAGAGAAGATGATATGGAAAGCTTTTGCAGCACAGAATTAGTCTGAACTAAAAATACTCATGGCTGGAAGAATTTTCCTGACTGTGGTGTAATCACATTTTCCATTACTGTGCTCTCCAAAGATCTTGAGTTGCAACTCTAATAATTGTATATAGGATGCCAATTTTCCTTAAGTTTAGGGAAATTATTATATTTTACAATGTAAGGCAATTTCTCTACTGGTAACAAATATGTTTATTTTGAGGGTAGAGTTGGAAACCTCATGAATAATGGAAAGCAATATGTTTGTCAGGCTCTTTCCTCTGTACCAGCATCCTTTGGAATGAGGGAAAGGATTGATAAAAAGTTATAGCTGACAGATGCTGTTCCTCAGACCTTACAGATTAAATGTCACGTTGGCTCTTGAAAACTAAATAAATAATAAGGTCACATAGTTTTAGGGCTGCACATTATGTTTTTTTAGGTGTCCACATAAGATGTTGTAATATAATTTTCTTCTGCTCAGTGCATAAATAATGACAGTTTATAATGCTGTAGATGAATAAGCACGCAGCTAATGCCTTAACAGGTCTTGGGGTCAGTGCATTGCCAAGAGTTTGCTAGCTTGCAGAACTAAACACCTGAAGATATTTTTAAAATGTTCAATTTCCCTCTTTCAGGCTCAGTGAGTAGTAAGTGAGTACGCAATTCAGTAAAGCAAGTAAGAGAGTAAGAAAAGACAGGTTTGGGGAACTGCATCTCCTCATTTTCGGTTTGCCTGTCATGGAGAATAGATCACTAAAAAAGTCCTCGGAAATGCTTTCAGCCTGGTTCCTTCACTATGAGGTTTTGCACCTATGCATTCAAGTCCTATGGTATCCCTGGCTGAGTACTGTTGGATTATTGTTCTTTGATATCCTCTGCCAAGCATAAATGTACCACATAAAAGGATAACTTGTTCAAAACTAGCTGTTTGCCAAAAACTGGAAATATAGATTTGTTGACATACAGAGGGATACTTTTGAAAGGATTTCTTTTTCTGCAGTGCAGAAGTACAAAACCGCACTGGTTTGTATATCCTAGAAACAAAGAGAGAAAGAGAGAGAACGTCAAAACCAGCCCTTTGTGTATCTAAATAAATAGGCCTTAATTAGAAGGAGTTTCTGTTACTTTTTTTGTTTTTTTATGATATAATTGTGTATTTCTGCAACCTAACCCCCCAAATTAAATAAATCCCTTCAAAAGTAGCCCTTTGTATGCTGAAAATTAACACAAAAATTAAAAGCAGAATAAGGACTTTGAATGGGTTTGTTTTTTCTTCGTTTGTACACTGCGGAACTGCATGATTGTACTCTTTTTTGTCATAGAAACAAAGCAAAAAATTAAAATTAGACCCTTGCATACTGATTTTTAACACACAAAGAGATAATTTCCAGAAGGTTTGTTTCTATTAACATTCTTTTTGTTGTTTTGGGGAGAGGTTTGCTTATATTGGGTTACCTGTATCTCAGAGCTGCAGCTGCATGCTTGTACAGGGCTTTAAAAAATTCCCCAGGGTTCCCTCTTGGACTGCTTATCAGACCTCTGATAGACTAGGCTACTACCTGATCCAATGAGCAGTCCAAAGCAGAAGACCCAAGATTTGACTGCATATCTCTACCTAACAACATTCACAGTAACCCTTAGAAGAACTTTCATTTTGCTTTACATTCCTTCCAGGTCAAACTCAATGAAAGGATCATAGCAACCGAACAAGGACTCTTGATCCGCTCAGTCCAGGATGCTGACCGAGGGCTTTACCACTGCATTGCAACTGAAAATGGCTTCAAGCAGACAATAGCAAAGATTAACTTCAGGGTGTTAGACTCCGATATGGTGGCCTTCATGACTGACAAGTGGTCCCCGTGGACCTGGGCCAGCTCCCTCCAGGCTTTACAGTTTCATCCAAAGGACTTGGTGGGCACTTTCAGCCACTCAGAACTGCAGATGATTAATCAGTACTGCAAAGACACGCGACAGCTTGGGCAGCAGGCAGAAGATGCCCAGAAAATGAGAGGGGATTATGGGAAGTTAAAGGCCCTCATAAACAGCAGGAAAAGTAGAAACAGAAGGAATCAGCTACCTGGATCATAAAGCTTTGTCTTGGAACGTCAAACTTTTCCCCCTGTACTCCTTTGAGGGGTTTTTGTTTGTTTGTTTGTTTGTTTGTTTTCTTGCTGAAAGCATAGAAAAAACATAGTAAAGCAAGTAAGCCTGATAGCAGATTGTTTTGATGAAATGCAATCTATCTAAACTAAAGAGGAAAAACAAGACAGATCCAAAGAGATGTGACGTGCTCGCTGACACCAGATCCACCCTTACTTTACCTGTTAGCCTAATAATTTGCCTTAACCCAGATTCCCATAGGATGTTGTTGTCAGTTAACTTTTCCTAAGGAGTAAAACAAACAAACAAAAGATGCACTGAGTGCGCACCTTGAAATTATGCAAGGTGGGAAGGAAAAGGAAGAGTTTGGATTAAGATGGATATATGAGTTTTGGGGATATCTATGGCAGGGGTGAAGGTAACACAATTCTTACTGGTACGTGTGTCTTGGAGGGCCTCCAAGCAGGAGAAGGGGAGGGGTAACATTTCAGTCTGTTTGTTACCAGTGCCACCCCATATCAGCATATGATCTCCCCAATCTACAGGCATTTATCCCACTGACTTGGGTATGCATCATGTTCCTTGATTATGATATGCTAGCTTGAAAAGCCAGCAGCCAAAGCATGGAACTAGATGTCATTTCCCATCTTTGTATTAAAGACACAGCAGATATATATAGACACGCGCACACATACACACACACACACACACACACACACACACACACATACATACATACATACATACGTACATATATAAGAGAATTCCCAGTCCTTTTTGACATGGTAAGCCACACTACTGTGATTCTATTAATGGCAAACTTCCCAAATTTACAATTCTTATTATTTTCCCTTTTAATTATCGCATTTACTATACTTTGCTTATTTAGTAATACATACATTCTTTGAGTTCACCTCATGTCTCTTATATCAAAACAAGCCCAGGAGAAATTTCACTACTGGGACTGTAATGGCTGAATCAAAGCCACCAAGCAAGAGTTGAAGCTTACTTGCTACAGGCAAGTCAGCGTCGGGAACGAATGGATCAGTGAACTGTATTATTAGATGCCAATATCTTTGGCAGGAAAAAAGGACATGCTCAGTGGTTTCAGTGGAGCCAGATCCGCAGCCACATAGGCACTCAGAGTAGGGCTTCTTAGTGTAGCGCCCACTCAAGACAGCAGTAGATAGTACATTGAATCTAACCTAGCTAAAAAGAAAGCTCTCCTATAAGCTGTGATGTGAAGAAATCTATATACGGACAGCAGAACTTAAAATACGTAAAGCCAAGGAAAGCAGGTGAGCACACACGACGGGCATGGAGAACAGGACTACTTAGGTCCCACTGAAATAATCTATTTTTTCATCAGAGAGCAGGCTGTAGATATAGTTGGCAAGGAAGTCTTATCCAATCCCAACCGCTGAAGTTTGGCATCGACATACACAAACCAGGGATTGACATATGAATCCCAGCTTGAAAGACTGCCAGTAGGGAAGGGCCAAAAGGAGTTTTAATTGATAACTAAAAACTGAGGCCCATGCTTTTGCATTGTCTCTTTTGGTGTGTCTTCCTGAATTGTACAGTTACACATGAGAACTGGCACCACAACTAACAATACACGGATACAGGATCTAAAGAACCACGTGGGATTCAATTTACCATTTACCAATATGTAATTTTCCCAGTGTTCATGTAGCTACTTAACAAGCAGACATTTGTCCATGCTAGACTCTCCCCCATCCAACCAGGGGCTCAAGTGTGGCATAGAAGTAACTGTGACAATTGGCACAAACTGTCAGAGAGGCAATGGAAGCAGCTACATCAAAGCCACTCCTATGTCAGTAAGGTATTGTGTGAATCAGGCCTAAACTGTGTGTCCTCCTGAGGGCTTGTCAGTCAACACTCCCATAAGCTGTCTTGGTTGGCAGCCTGTCCATTGAGATCTCCTTCACATGCACTCCAAATGGCAGAGCTGTGGGTGGTGCCTCTTCACTAATTGCATTCCAGACCAAGTCTAGCAAAAAGGTTTATGCCCATGTAGCTGCTCCAACGTTGTTTAGAATACCATAGAAATGCCTCCTGGGCCCCGTGTGTGGTCTCTTAACGTAGAAATTTTGGTGACTTCCATAGACTTCAGTTGGAGTTTTGAGAGTAAGCGTATTAAAACATATGCACATTCCCCATTTTTCTGCATTTGTACTGGAAAGAGACATTTTTGACAGTGAAAGTTTCTATAGCAAATAATTAAGACTTGCAAGATTTCATTTACCTCACAGAGCAGGAATCATCGGTGTGGTGCCCATGTGGGCACCACTGCACCACCCAATAGCTTTTCTGGTGCCTGCCAAGTGTTTGTAGAAAGTGGGTGGAGCCATGGGGGAATCTTGCCTAGAAGGACTTCAGGTTGGCCACTGGAGGTCTGATTTGCTATGCAGATTAAAATAATGTTGTTCCAGTGGCAGCTGCAACCACAGTGTTGGTTTGATACTCACTCCTTTCCCCCAGTGTTGTTTATTACCTGTTTTCTCCCTGCCATTGGGCTTCCTCTGTGTGTGTGGCTCTGCCTCCTGTGGTTGCACCCACCACCCTGTGTAAGAATGCCAAAGCTGTCCACCAGCCCTATCATACAGCTTGAAACCTCTACAAAGTAAACCTCTTTATACCAGAATGCCAACATTTTTAAGCCTTCCTGTGCTGCTTCTGCCATCCGTTTTGCTTATTCATTTCTAATACCCCTTCCCATGCAGTAAAGGAACAGATAAACTTGCCAAAGTAGGTCATTATCCCATTCTCTCAATTCTCCTCAAAAGTTACTAGTGCTGTATAGGCTATTGTCTTAGACCAGGGATCCTCAATATTTTATATATATTGCTCTCTCTCTCTCTCTCTCTCTCTCTCTCTCTCTCTCTCTCTCTCTCTCTCTCTCTCTCTCTCTCTCTCTCTCTCTCTCTCTCTCTCTCTCTCTCTCTCTCTCTCTCTCTCTCTCTCTCTCTCTCTCTCTCTCTCTCTCTCTCTCTCTGTGTGTGTGTGTGTGTGTTTAGCTTCCGAGATCTGATGAGATCCAGGTCAGGGTGGATCTTCAACCTTTTTGAGACTATGGACAATTTTGGAATATTGAGAATGGGGAGCAGGCACCACTACAAAATGGCTGCCATGCCAGACGGGCAAATCACAAAACGTTGGAATGTTCCAAAGCCAAGTGACTTATGAAGGAGGAAGCTGTATGCAAATGGGTGTGCCCTGAAGATAAAAAGGAGATGCTTCCTGGGCTTTTCTGAAGCACCTGTTGCTCAAATGAGGGGGAGGAAAATCAGGATTGGATTTGCTTTGGACAAGAAGTGAATGGCATCCGGAAACTCATTTTGCTGGTGCTGTGATGCACAACAGGTGCACTGTATTAGAGATAACCCAGACACATTCTCAGTAATTAAATTCAAGACCAAGTTACACATTACTGAAAATTGTGTTGCCTTGGCAAGTTCTATCTTTCTCCCCTGCAACATCTGCAAACATGTAACCCACTTGGTGGGGAACCTTGCAACTGCAGCCAATGATGTTGGACAGGGTAAACGTTTCTACATGTTATGAGGGAAATATGAGGATGCTGCTTGGGGTGGCATTCTCATGGTACATATAATTTGTAGCTTAGCCCAGTGCAGGGGCTGCTTCAAACATCACCTTTTTCTTATCCAGAAGTACTACACACCAGAAACCTTCTATCTTTTGTACTGTTTGATATTCCTTCCCATTACAAATATTTATTGGTGAGCCAATGAGTTGTGTATCAAGAAGTTGCATTTGAAGTGGCTCTGAGACAGCCTATTTGATGTTGCCAGTGGAATGATAGAGCACTGCCTAATACCTTCCCAAGTGGTATATATGATGTCATGAAGCGAGCCAAGTTAGAATACCAAAATATTATTTTGGGCTTCACAGAATAAAACTACCTCTTGTAGTCAGAATGTTGATCCTGTGTAGGTACTATAGTTTGAAGCCCGCCATCCTCTTTCCATTTTGAACCAACCACATTCATAGTGTTGATGCAACTTTTATATCATCCTGTAAAGGGTAGTAAGCGCTTCCAGATGATGTACAGTGATAGATAAGTTTTCACGGGCACAATTTATTCTTTTAACAGCCAAGTGTGGTTATATTTGAATGGGTGCCCATTAGGCCTGAAGAATGATGATCGTTAACAATGTTTATTAAAAACAAAATAATGGCAATATACATGGTTCATTTAACACAACCAGCAGAGCCTCAGGTTCTGAAATAATATTTTTAAAGCTGCTTTAGATATAGTTATGTGGCATGACTGTTTAAGGGATTAAACCTAAACTAACTTTTCCCCCCTGCTGCATGAAAAATATATGTATTGACAAAGCTTTTTTTGCTGGTTTGTAGCCACTCCCACCCTCCATGCTGCAAGATCTTACAACATATTTGAGATTCAGGACTTCAGCTAGGTATAATTATTGAAGTGTAGTGTGAAACAGTTTACTCCAGACAAAGGATAGTGTTTCTAAGGCTTTGTCGACATGTTATACTTACAGCAACCTGTGGAACAGCAGCAACCTCAGGGTCATGGAACTAAAACAGAAATCTGGTTCACAGTCCGCCCTTAATTTACATGTGTTGAGGAATGGTAGCAGTTCTGTAGTGCATCTTTGCTGTATACAGAGCATGATGTGCAATGTGAAGGCCATGCATTTATCCCCATTCAAACAATATGTGTGTTCCTTCGGGGGGTGTAGGTGGGTTCATGGCTGAGACTTTCAGTCATATAAGCATTCATTGGTGGATCTGAATGTCACACATTACACACCCTTTATCTCAAACAACCTTCCATCCCACCAAGGCTGCCCTTCTCAGTGAGGTGAAGAACCTTGTCGATAGAAGAATTATGTGTGCACAACAGAGCTTCTACACTAAAAAAAACTTACAAAAGCATTCCATTGTCCCATTCATAATGAAATAAAATCCTGAAATTTTGTAGAACCTCCCTTCGTGCCTTGCCTCTCCTCAAATTTCTCTTTTGCTCAGAACATGATTCAAAACAGATCAAAAAGAGGAAAAGAAATGGACTGTTGATTTTTCAGGGAGAAATTGAGTAGAGAGGAATTAAGAGAATTCCTCTTAACAATGCTTTTCAGGAGTCATGGAGGGAATTTCCTGTTAGCTTTTCTATTTTTCCAAAAAGTATGGAAAAAAGACTTCACGTGATCTCCACCAGCCAACAATTTTT